CAACCAAAATCATGTTGCTAATATATCAGCAACATAAGCTATGTTGCTGAAAAAAAAGTATCAACAACATAACTTATATTGCTGAAAACTTTCACCGGAATCCGGTGATCGGTGGGGGTGAAATTCTCACCCCCTTCAGCAACATAGGCCACGTTGCTAAAGATGGAGTTTCAGCAACGTGGCTCACGTTGCTAAAAACTTGGAGAAATCTTGCCGGATTTTGTCACCGGAATTTTATCAAATTTTCAGCAAGAAAGGCCACGTTGCTGAAACCTTATCTTCAGCAACATATTCCTTGTTGTTGATTACATACTTTCACCAACATGCTCCACGTTGGTAAAAAAAAATGGATGGATTCCCCCCCACACTTCTGGTCCATTTTCAGCAAGCAAAGTCATGTTGCTGAAAATAGGGTTTCAGCAATGTGGCTTATCTTGGTAAAAGTTAAGGGGAGAGAGTGGTTTGCACTTTTCAGCAACATATTCTTTGTTGCTGATTGTGTACTTTCACCAACATGCTCCACCTTGGTAAAAAAATGATTGAATTCCTCCCCATTCCCAGTCCATTTTCTGCAAGCAAAGCCATGTTGCTAAAACCATATTTTCAGCAACATGCCTCTTGTTACTGATATCTATGATAATAAACATATTACATTAATGTTTTTATCTGTATTAAATTTAATAAATTTATAATATTTACAAATAAAATTTATTTTTTATTCATCAAATACATATTAATTATCTTTAAATCTCACATACAATATAATTAATATTTATATATTAATTATAAACATTAATCAATTTTTTAGCTTAATAACTGTATATAAATTAATTAAGTAAATTTAAGTTAATTAATTTTTACGATATAATTAATTGAATTTCTTACTAAATTTAAATTTTTTATTTTATTAATAATTACATACAAAATAACAAAATTAACAAAATTAAAGTAATTACTATATAATTATTTATAAATATATAAACTTTCAAATAATATATATATATAAATTGATACATAATTAATTAATAATGTAATATTTACAAAAATATTTCATACAATGTGTTTTCAAGGGAATTAATATTAACAGGAAAAAAAAAAAAACAGAAGCTGAGAGTCGAATGTTGATGCTGAGAGTCGAATGTTGATGTTGAGAGCCGAATGTTGATGCTAAGAGTCGAATTTTGATGCTGAATGTTCATGCAGAGAGTCGAATGTTGATTCTGAGAGTCGAATGTTGATACTGAGAGTCGAATGTTGATGCTGAGATCCTGCAGCCGGCTGGAGAGAATTGCAGCACATAGCAGGAGAAGGATCCGATTGGAGATGGCTTAGGATATCTCCAGCACGCAGGAGAATTGGAGCTAGCAAGGTGGATATCTGCAGCATGGGTGCAGAACATGTACGTACATATGGAGATCAATGGCTGAGCTATGATGGTGCAACACGCAGGAGAAGGAAGCGTCGAGAATTGCATAACACAAGGAGATGGATGAGGATATATTGTCCAGCATGCGCATGGGAATGAGGTGGGCTGAGCAGACATGCATATGGAGATGGCTGGGATTGTGCAGCATAGGAGAGACAAGGAGTTTGGGCATCTGCAGCACGCATGGAAAATGGGGGGGGCAGGGGGGGGAAGGGGTATATAAAGGACTTTCAGCAACAAGAACCATGTTGTTGAAAGTCCATCCCATTATTATCATCATGCTCTATGTTGCTAAAACATATTCAAATTTCAAATTTATACTCATCAGCAACGTACAACATGTTGCTAAAATTTAAAATTAATATTTTCCCCTCCACTGCTCAATTATTAAAATTAATATATGTTTATTAATTTTTAATCTTAAAAAAGAAATTTGTATACCTAAAATTTTATTTATTATTAAATTATTATTAATCTATTAATTTTTATTTAATA